CCATCTCGAGCCATCTCGAGCCATCTCGAGCCATCTCGAGCCATCTCGAGCCATTCGGATGCTGCCCGAAGGATGTAGTGATGCGGGCATATTGGGGCGACGACGCGCTTGGCTTGCCTTCAAGGGCCCAGTGCGAGACAATAGGACCATGCGATGGAGAGATGCATGGGGACGCTCGACAGACGGAAAAGGGATCACCGTCCGGAAGTGCACTCGTTGGCCGCAGGTCGCTAGACTCGGTACTGCTGCTGAGTCCAACAAGTCGGATTTCAAATTTGCTGATTTCACCCTCTCGCTGGGAGAAGCGTCTCGTGCCTTGCCCGTGCCTCTGCGAGCAGAGACGAGCAGTTCTGTCGGTTGTAGCCAGGATCGCCCGCCCGTCTCTGCCTTGCCGCCTTGTTCTAGCTTCCGAAACCTAGACGGACCAGCACAATTCAGCTTTGCTGCATTGCTTAGCATATGCATCCACCTCGTTGCTCAAACATACAGACGCAAAGGAAGAGCTCGAGCTTCGACGAGCAGCCTTGTTGGTGACAACTCAAAGGCGCACTTTTCGCGAGGTTGACAACGGGCGAGGGTCCAACATGAAGCGCGGGCAGAAGCGAGCCCAATTCAAGGGTTCTCAGGAAGACTCCAGCTTGCCTCCTCATAGCCCCACCGCGTCGTCTTTGCCACCGAACTGCCAGCAGCTGAGACAAATGCTCATTACGGCGAAGCGTCGAGTCGAGTCGCCACGCCACTCCGCTCAGAGTGTGCGTGTGCATGTCCGGCCAGCGTTGGCCCTGCCGATCCTGGAAGCGTCGGCGGGTGCGCATCGTCGACAGCAGATCGATGGCGTCACTCTGCTTGCGCCTCGGCCACGCATCGCAGCCGCACAAACAAGATGGCGCGCCATTCGAATTTCGAGGCTGGCGATCGGCAGCTGCACCCTTGTTTCCGCGCATGTCAACCAGATCCGGGCCTCGATTTCGCCTCTCGTACGTGTTGCGATCTTTGCGGGGGATTCGGAACGTGGAAGTTGGAGGCCACCCCGCCCGCTCGTAATCTGACAGTATTTCGCACCGCGTTCGGGCCGTGGAGTCGCAGCTGAGCTGCAGCGCACGGTTGCACCTCTGCTCGCCCCACATGCTCCCACGCTATGAGCTGCATCCCTGCGGATCGGCAGAAGGCGTCTTTCTTTCCATCCCACATCCTCTCGTTTCCGCTCCACACGCTCCCCTGATCTTCACAGCTCCATTGTCCTCGCCGCCGTCAAGACCTCGTCAAAGGAAACGAGGCTACTGTCGCCAGCCCATCCATCTCGGCCACAATCACATCCCTCTCAACCTTCGGATCTCACTGTCCCGAATTCAGCCGGTCCAGCTTCGTCGGGCCGGCCTCCTCTTCACATCCTTGCAACTAGCTCAATCGTCTTCCGGATGGCGGAATCCAACCCCGGCGCCGCGTTTGCGCCCAACGCCTATGCCAACGCCTTTGTCGGCGCCAAACCTCGCGATGCGGCCAACCTCGTACAGCAGAGGTTGCGCAAGGCGAAGCTCTTCAACGAGGAACTCGCAGACTACTTTGCCGCGCGCCGCGAACTCGAGGAGACCTACCTCAAGCAGCTCCAAAAGATCTCGAAACGCAGCTTCCTCTCCGACCCGTCCTCCATCCCGCCTGGGTTCGCTCCCGTCTACGAGCGCCTGGTGCAGGAGCTGGCGGAAGTAGCGAGCGCGCACGGCGAGCTCGAGAAGCGCATCGCCGACGACTGCGAGGCTCCTATCCGCAACGCCAGCTCCAAGGGCGAGTGGAGCCGCATCAAGGACCACGACGACTCGCTCGCCAACACGCTGCGCGAACTCAACTCGCTCGAATCGCAGCTCCAAAAGGACCAGAAGAAGCTAGAGACCGCTTCGTCCAAAAAGGCCTCCCAGGCCAATGCCAAGCTGAGCGAGACAGAGCGCTCCATCGCACAGACCATGGAGCTCTGGGAGACCGAAGCGCCCTTCGCCTTCGAAGCCTACCAGCGCATCGATGCGCAGCGTCTCGAGCTGCTCAAGGAGACCGTCGCCAAGTTCGAGACCGCACAGAGCGATGCCGCGCAGCGCATCATGTCGACCTCCGAAAAGACCATGCAGCAGTGCCTCTCCTTTGATACCCAGGCCGACATGCAAGACTTTATCCTCAAGAACGGCGTCCTCGGAGCCGACGGCACCGCACGCAACGGCAGAAGGCCCAGCGCACGTCCACCCACCACCTCGTCCATCACCCCTGGTCTCAATCGGCAAAACTCGGTCGCTGGCCGCAGCATCAGCAGTCGCACGGGCGCCGACTCGTCGATGCGCGCACCTGCAGGACGCACCAACGGCGCAGGCATGGGCGAGTTCGGCGCCTCGTCGGCTTCCATCCATTCGGCCGATCGCACCGTGGGCAGCACCAACGATGCCTCCACGCCCAGCAAGGGCGCCGGCTCCACGCTCAAGAACGCCTTCAGCCGCTTCGGCCGCGGCCGCGCCAACAAGGACTCAGCCAACACCCAGACCATGTACGGCGGGCTGCCCGACGAGCCCGCTGGCGACTCGTCGCTCTCGTCCATGACGCGCAGCAACACGGTGCGTCAGAACTCGGCCACGGCCGGCGCCGGCTCGTCGTCGCGCAACCCGACGCTGCTCACGCCCGGCGACGAATCGATCGACTCGATCGGGCCCGGTTCCGGCACGGGGCTGATGGCGCCGCTGACGCCCTCGACCGCGCCTGTGCGCAAGAATTCGGTGCTCGCCTCGTCGGCGGCGGCTGCCACGCCCGCACCTAGCGCTGCGCCCGTCACCACCGGTGCACCGCCCATGGTCGACTCGGAGGGCTACTCGATCCCGCCGCCGGACCGCAAGCCGTGGGAGACGCCTGCGGCGCTCGGAGCTGCGGGTGGTGGTGCGGCGTCGGGCGCGTCGCTGCTGGACGATGCCGAGGGCGATGCGGCGCGCGACACGTTCGACACCTCGCTCAACAACCGCGTCAGCACGATGAACATCAGCAGCCAGCCGATCGCCGAGGATGCGTCGCGCGACAAGGCGGCGCTGGAGCGCATGAAGTCGACGCTGCTCACGAGCGGGCCGCCATCGCGGCGCGGTACGACGCGGCGCGACCGCCGCGATGTGCGCAACACGACGTACAACCCTGCCTTTGCCGGCGTGGGTGCGGCGGGCGACGACAGCCGGCTGAGTCAGTTTGGCGCGCTCACGGCGTCGCCCAACTCGAGCGTGCCCGGGTCGCCCTCGCCGTTCGGGGCGCAGTCGGCCTTTACCGGCGTGGCGGGCACAGGTAGGCACCGCACGCAGAGCATCGCGTCCGTGGCATCGTCCACTGCCAACGCGAACCCGTTCGAGGCGAGTGCGAGCACCTCGCCCATCCGCGCCAGCCTCACCGAGCGCGTCAATGCCATCTTTGTCGGCCGCGACGTGTCCAAGGTGATGGTCGTCGGCGAGCTCAGCGTTGCCGTGGGTGCGAGTCTCGGTGCGGCCGAGCCGGTGCATTTGCGCATCGAGGCGTTCGAACAGCTCGAAAAGGCGGCTCCCAATCCGGCGTTCCTCAAGCCCGTACCAGGCGGTAGTACACCGGGCGAATACCTGTTGGATGTCAAGGCGGTTTTGGAGCAAGGGGGTGGTGTGGGGTTGCCGGGGAGTGGGGCGCAGGCAGTGGTGCTCAAGTACCAGCTGCATATTTCGGACAGTCGCAGGAACGACTTTGTTCCGCTGCAGTTGCATGCGCAGTGGCGGTGCGAAGCGCACCAGACTTCGTTCCTCATGACCTACGCGCCCAATGCGGCGTGCAGGTTGACGGATGGCGACACAAGCGCCAACACACCAGCCGTGTTGGAAGACCTCCAACTGGCGGTGAATATCTCGCCGTCGAGTGTGACCAACATCATGTCCAAGCCTACGGCGACGTTTGTGGGCGATACGAGCAGCTTGTTCTGGAAAATCACCGACGCCCTTTCGCTCGCCGATACCGAGCCGCGGAAGGTGCTGGCAAGATGCCAGATCTCGGGCAGCCCCACGGTGCCCCAACCTGTGCATCTGCGTTGGAAGATCAAGGGCCGCTCCATCGCTCCCATCGCAATCGCCGTGCGTGGAGATCACACCGTCGGAGAACTCATCCGAACCTGCACCGCTGGAAAGTTCTTCGCCTCGCCTTAGGTCCTTCTCCAAATCGTCACTCTCACTTGGCTATCTGCCCCGCGTCGCTCTAATTCGCACCTTCCTTTCGCCAACGACCAGCAAAAATGTGCCAAATGGGATGTGTTTGGAAAACCATGGAAGAAGTGTTTTTATTTGGTACATGAGTATATCACCGCGATGCGCCGGATGGATGTGTGGGGCGAACGGGCTAGTTGTTCTCGGGCTCGAGCGTGGTACCGCGACGCACGGTGCCCCAACCGACGAGACGCCAGTGCTTGTCGATTCTCCTGGAGAGGGCGATCTTCTCGCCGACTTCGGTGCACGCCGGGCTGGTGAGGAAGATCTTTGCGAGATCCGCCTTGACGCTCATCACCCTGCCGCCGGTGGAGGTGGAGCCGATGTTGACCATGAGCACCTCGTTCTTGGCGAGCTTCTGCACCTTGGTCTGCTTCTTGTCGTCCGACTTGACGCCGAGCAGACGACGCAGCAGGAAGTAGTTGATCTCCAGCTCGGTGTAGATGGCGGGCAGCTGGCCCACGGCACCGAGCACCTGGCCCACCAGACGGTCCGCACGGCACAGCGTCGGGTCGATCTTGGTGCCCACGCCGATGAGACCGCCGGGCACGGCAAACTGCAGGTCGTTGTGCTCGGCGAGCAGCGACTCGACGCGCGAAAAGATGGGCTTGCAGTGGATCTTGCCCTCGTTGTCCTTGGTGACAATGCCCGGGCGCACCTCGATCTCCTGGCCGATCTTGAGCACACCCGACAGAATCGAACCACCGGCGACACCGCCGCGCAGCTCCTCGACCTCGGCACCGGGCTTGTTGACGTCGAAGGAGCGGATGACGATGAGGCGCGGTGGCGAGGTAAAGTCGCGCGTGGGCACGGGCACCCGCTTGACGATGTACTCGTTGACTGCGTCGATGTTGTACTTGAGCTGCGCCGAGATGGGAACGATGGGCGCGCCGTCGGCGACGGTGCCCTTGACAAAGTTGATGATGCTCTTCCAGTGCTCCTCGGCCGCCTGTTCGCGGATGAGGTCGACCTTGTTCTGGAGGATGATGATGTGCTGGAGCTTCATGATCTCGACGGCGGCAAGGTGCTCCGAGGTCTGGGGCTGCGGACACGACTCGTTGCCGGCGATGAGGAGCAAGGCGGCGTCCATGACGGCGGCACCGTTAAGCATGGTGGCCATGAGAATGTCGTGACCGGGGCAGTCGACAAAGGAGACGTGGCGGAGGAGGTTCATCTTGGCGCCGCAGCCGGGCACCTCGCAGTCGGGGTGCGGCTCCTTGTCCGAGGGGTATGATCGGTAGCACTGGGGGCGCGGGCACTCGTCGCGCTCGCACTTGTAGATCTTTGCGTTGGCGTAGCCGAGCTTGATGGTGATGTTTCGGACGAGCTCGTTCTTGAATCGGACGGTCTGGACGCCCGAGATGGCCTTGACCACGGTGGATTTGCCGTGTGCGACGTGACCGATGGTGCCGATGTTGATGGTGGCCTGCTTGGCGATCACCTCGGGGCTGAGCGGGTTGAGGTTGTCATAGTCGATGCTGACCGCCTGCAGATCCTTGGTGATCTGCTGTACGTCGCCGTTCGAGGCGACTGCTGCTGCCATTTTGGTGGGTTGGTGTAGTTCCTAGCGAGATGAGCCTGGTGGTGATCGTTTTTGGCGTGCTGGCGAAAGGTGAGCGCGAGATGCAGAGGGAAAGCAGACGAGAGCCAGGAGCCGGTAACCGATGCCAAATGCCAGAGACGAGACGAAGAGGTGATGCCAACGAAACAAGCGCCAAGATAATGTCGGATGCTGTGGTGAGCTGCCGACTGGAGTGACGATGCGTTGCGAGACGAGTGTCGGAGGGAGGATGAGGAAGGGGATGGTGGTTGTAGCAGAGAAGTGGGCCGCGGTTGGAGTGATCACTCGAGCTCGCTGGCTTTGCAGCGCCGATTGGAATCCGCCGCCTCGCCCTCACTCACTCACTCACTCTCACTCCTCGCACCCACTCGACTGCACCTGCAACTGCGCACCAAATCGCAACACAGCAGGCCGAGAAAATGTAGAAGAAAGGTCCCTTTGACAGGCCGGCGCGGCGAGAAGAAATTGTTGCATTTTCAAACTGCACCCGAGGTTGCGAGTGCTTGCACGCCGCCTTGGAGGAGTCATTTTTTCTTTGGCCCAGCAACAGCAGCACCACACGGCGTCGCACGACTCTGGCTGGCTCAGTCTCGCCCTGCCAGTCCACCCGTGCGAATGAGTCTGTCTTTCGTCTCGAAGCTTGAGCTCCATCTTCCGGCTCCTCGGGACCATGCTGCCCCCCGGCTCGCTTCAATGTAACAGTTTGCTCTCATCCGGACCAGCATCTTGGAGCTTGTAACAGCCGCCGGTGCTACACGACACACAAGCCAGCCATTCTGGCAGCGAAACATCACTCTAAAGCATGTTCTTTGCGCTTACAAGGTCCGACACGAACGGACGGGCGAGTCGATTGCCGCCGCAGCCCGTTCCGTTGTATGTGCAAGATTTAGTGGTGCGCCTCGACCTTGACGTCGGCAGCAGCCTCACGAAGGAAGGCGTTGACGTCGCCACCCTCGGTGAGCGCACCCTCGGACGACGAGGCAGCCACCTCGGCGTGGTCGGGCTCGGCGGCAGCGTATGCCTCGAGCTGCGACGAGAGCTCCGACGACGAGGGCACCGCGGGCGCCTTGGGAGCAGCAGGGTTCTGGAACTCGCGGACCTGGCCCTTGTGCGAGTCGGCAGCCTGTGTGGAATCGTGCGGCATTGAAAGTGTAGAGTGCGGTTGGTGTCAGTCTAGATTCCAATGCAAGATTGCCTTGGCAACGGCGCGGTGCTCACCTTGGGGGGAGCCTTGTAGCCCTTGAGCTCCTTGACGTAGAGCTCCTGGATGAAGTCTGTGTGGGCAGATCACATGAGCGTATGCGGCGTAAAGGCGGTGGTGCCAGGGTCAGTTGGGCTTTGCCGTCGATAGATGCGTCGAGATGTATGTGGCCAATGCGTACCCTTGGAAGCGACGGCCGAGCTGGAGAGAGCTCGCACCTGGGTGCGCGAGGCCGATCGGACCTGTACAGAACATCAATGATCATCGCCAGCCGCAAAGATTTGGCGAAAGTGGTGTAGGTTGTCAGTCGAGCTGTCCATTTTGCTATTCCTCCTCGTCGTCATTGTCTCTGTGCCGTTTTGCGACCGTGGTTGGTCGATCGAGCCGTCCAATGCGTGTGGCCGGGATACGTACTGCGCCGAAGGTGGAGCGGGCGACGAGCTGTGCGAAGACCATTTTGACGGATGTGTGTGGGGATCGAGATAGGAGGATAGTGGTGGAAGTCGTCGCGCGCGAAGAATTGCAGCTGTCACTCGCTGAGAGCGATGGCGAGAGGTGCTCACGCCAGGGTGTTCGAATTGGCGGCGGGGCGCTGCTCGGCGGATCCGCGCTCTGGCTCTGGCCGCCCAGCCTCTGGGCTGCACTGGCGGCGACGAAATTGCAGGAAATCGAGATTCCAACTCGCCACAACAGAGCGGCGAGCAAGCAGCCCTCCCCGATGTGGCTCAGAGAGCAGCGACGGTTCCGAGCAGACCCGCTGCACCCTTTTCGGGGCCAGGCCCGGTCTCGATCGCGTCCTTTCGTGCGAGTGACGGGCTGCTGCCAAATGACGTTGATCCGTGCAGCAGTCCGGCAGAGGGCTGGCATGCTCCGCTCCACATCTGAGCGAGCTTCAGCTGCGCACTGAGCATCTCGTGCTCAGCCCGACCCGCCTCACTCAACTCGCTAGAACCCAACACGGGTCCCTTTCGTCCCCTTTCTTTCCCTCCAACTATCACAACCATCGTCCAGCTTTGCAACATGTCTCTCCTCCGCGTCTCCTCCTCCACGCTCGCCCGAGTCTCCAAGACCCCCACCTTCGTCATGGCTACCCGTGGATACGCCGACGGCCCCACCGACAAGGCCGGCGCCACCGCCTCCTCCAAGGGCTGGCAGCAGCGCGAACAGGTACGTCACCTTCCCAAACCCCATTCTCTGTGTGCATCAGTCGATTGACCCAAAAGTGTTGTCTGTGGTAAATTCAGGCCCAGGAGAACCAGTACGTCCAGCAGGCTGAAAAGGAGAAGCTCGCCAAGCTCCGCGAGTCGATCAAGAAGCAGCGCGAGCACCTCGACCAGGTCGAGAACCAGCTCAAGGACCTCGAGAAGAAGTAACCTGCGTTCACGTCTCGCTATCTCACCACCTCTCGCTTCTCGAAAAGCAACCCTTGGCATATGTCACCATTGCAATAAAATCAAATGCATCTCCATTCTAGGCAGTCGAGCGCTCGGCTAGAATGTGCTGCCACTCGGCGGCATCGGCCAGGCTGTGCGTCTCGGCTGCGTCGACATCTTGGTCGTCGTGCTCGGCCACATCGACGGTCCTTGGCGTCTGAGTCGTGGTGTAGACGGCGCCTTGTTTCTCGAGATACTCGGCGTAGCTGTGCAGTGCGCCCAGGTCCGGGCTCTCGACGCGGCTGTAGGCGGCTTCGCTGAGCTGCGCGTTCTTGAACGTGTCGATGTTGCCGAGCACGAACAGCGCGCTCTGCGCCCTTGTGAGCGCCACATTGAGTCGCCTCCCATCGGCTAAGAATCCAACATAGCCCTGTGCGTTTGTGCGCACCGTGGAGAAGAGGATGACCTTCTTCTCGCGGCCCTCGAAGCCGTCGACCGTGTGCACATCGATGCATCCGAGCTGTGACGACCGCGCCCCAAGCGCACCAGCCGCCCGACGGCGTTCGGCCGATGTGTCGTTGTGCAGCATCTTCTCGAGCAGAATCTGCTGCCCTGCGTACGGCGTCACAATCCCAATGTCGTCGCCCGTCAGCTCCGGATTGCGTCGCAGCACGTCCATCGCCACATCCACCGCCAGCCGCGCCTCGGCCACATTGCACAGCGACAGCGAGTTGTCCGCCTTCGACTCGCGGCCCTTGTGGTCGATAAAGCACAGTCTGTGAGCTTCGTCCTTGCCTTCCACATGCGGCCAGTACCCCGACTCGACGGCGGGTATCTTGTCGGTGCCGCTGCCGTTCTCGAGTGCGCCGCTGTAGAATGTCTTGTTGGGAAACTCGGCGAGTCGCGGATGCATGCGGAACTGCACGTTGAGCAAAGTCGACGGGATCTTGCTGCCGTCCGCGGCGGTGCTCTCGATGAGCCGTTCAAACAGACTCTTGCTCAGCCCGCCCTGCTTGGCCTCGGCGCTCGTCACCACGGGCGGCAGCTGCTTGTGGTCGCCAATGATCGACAGGTGCCGACATCCCTTCATGAGCGGCACCAGCGACACCGGCTCCGTCGCCATCGACGCCTCGTCAAAGAACACCACGGGCAAGTCGATCATGTCGAGCTCCGGCGAGCCAGCTGCGATCGCCGAGCCGCAAATCACGTCGGCGCCATTGAGGATCTCGCCGCGGATCGAGGCGCGCAGGAAAAAGTAGGTCGCCTTGAGCCGGTTGAGCCGCTTCTTGATGCTCTCGTACTCCTCGGACGCCGTGCCGCCCTGCGACTGCGCCACCTCGCGCTCTTCTTCGCGCTCCGCCATCACGTCCTCCCACGACAGCGCCGCACCACCGCCTGTAGCACCAATGCCCTCCTCGCTTTCATCTCGCGCTGCAGGCGCGGCGACTGTTCCACGCACCATCTCGTAGTCGCTCTTGAGCTTTTCGAGCGTGTCCATGCGGCGCTTGATGTCGTCAAGGCGCGGCTTGGCCGGATGGCGCAGAAAGTGCGCATCGAGCGTGAACTGGTCGATGCCCGCACGCGCGCGTGCCGACGGGCCGATGCGCACCACACGCAGCCCGGCCTTGATGCAGCCGTCGGCAAGGTTGTCGACGGCCACGTTGGTGTGTGCGGCGAGCATGACGGGGTGGGGCACCTGGAATTCCTGCTTGAGCAGCTTGATGGCGGTGACGATCGTGCGAGTCTTGCCCGTGCCCGGTGGGCCCTGGATGAGCGAGACGCGCTCGCGCAGCATCATGGCCACCGCCTGCGTCTGCGAGCGGTTGAGCTCCGGCTGTGGGTCGCCATCCACCACTACAGGGTCGGGGCGCGAGAATCGGTCGTACCAGCTCTGCACACGGGCGTCTTCCCAGAATGCGCCTCGCGTGACTCGGTCGGCGGGAGGCTCGATGCCCAGGATCACATCGCTCAGACGCGTGCCCGAGAGGATGTACTGGAAGCGCGAGCCGTACTGCGTCTCGATGAACTCGACGTCGTGCTCGATGGCCTCGAGTGCCGCCTTGATGCGTTCGAACGTGAGGTCGTTGAATCCATAGTCGAGGCGCCAGGATGGACACGCAACGAGATCGACATCCTCGTCCCTTTCGTCAAACTTGAGTCGCAGAAAGGTCCGCTGGCGTTCCACCACCTCGGCCTCGATCACTTCTTCCTCGGCAAGCGGCTGCCCAGCATACGGACCGCTCGATGTGGACGGCATGATGGTGACCTTGTCTCCGGCCCGGAACAGCGTGCGAGGCAATGGTTCGGCCGCATCGAGCTTGAACACAGCGACCTTTTTGCCGAAATGACGCCGGCTGTCGTCTTGCCAGTACGCCTGCAGGCCGTCGATGGCGATGCCCTCGTCGACGAGCTTGTCGATGGGCGCCTTGCGTCTCTCGGCGATGGCAGCGAGTTCTTGGGTGCGCTCGTGGTCGAGCAATTGCGTCCAGTTCTGTCGGTAGAGCTGCGCCTGCTGTCGGATGGGCTGGCGCTCGCCGTTGCGCTGAATGAGCTGCGCCGCTTTTTCGCGGCTGATTCGGAGTGAGCGGTCGTCCATCTTGCGCTCGGCCGTGCGCCGCGCTTTGGCGGCGAACTTGCTCTCCTCGCCATTGACCATGGAGGCGGAAGCCTTTCTGCGCTGCAGCGGCGCAGACTTGGATGCGGACCGAACGACGGGCTGCGACGTGCATCTTCTCCTCCAATCGAATCGATCTGGATGCGCCACGTAGGCGTCTCGGTAGAGATCTTGTGGGCGGGAGGGCCCGAAGGGCCAGTGCGACGCGGCCATCTGGCGGTCTAGGTCGAGCATTGGATCCGATGCTGTACGGTCGGCCTGGGTGGCGGAAGTTTCACCGGTCCACCATTGCCCTGGTGCGCTTCCGTGCGGATGGGGGCGGTCGGGTACATGTGGACGGCTGCTGCGAGGGCTTGTGTCGGTGCCTCTGCGGCTGTACTGCGCCTTTTGCGTCTTTCTAGGGGCGGTGGACGATGCGGATGCCACTGAGCGAGGATCGTTTGTACCGAGCAGCCCACGCTTGGCGGGGTGACCGAAGCCGGGTCCCGAGTGGGAGCTTGAGTGAGCATGGCGCTGGAATGAGGCTGTGGGGAGGCGGGAGGGGCCAGCGATGCACACGCTCTCCTGCGGCGGCGGACGGGCAGCCGCCTGGACGGACTCGTGCGCCCGTCGAGTGCTGGTCACCGCATGCCTGGCGAGGTGGTGGGAGGCGAGGCCGAGACGTGAGGCGGGAATGGTGTCGAAGGCGGGCGCGCGGACGAAGATCTGCTTGCTCAGCTGTGCGCCTTGCAACGACCTTTGTGAATGTCTTGGAAAGCGGTGTGGTGATGAGGAGGATGCAGTAGCAGTCGTGATGGTCGTGATGATGGCGGTGGCACATGCGATAAGCCGTCGTTGCAGATGTGGCTTCTGCGCTCAGGGTCTTGCGAGCGGGGCGGCGGCGCCTCCGCCTTCGTCTTCTCAGAGCGGGCTCCCGGCTGAGTCTCAAGTCGCCCGCCATCCACCGGATCTTCGCCTCGTGCGTCGAAAATTGAAAATGTGGGATTTTCGCTGGATGGCCCGCTTCAGTGGCGGAGGCTGCTCAGCGCGCTCTCGACAGAAAAGAGGGGGGCGGAAAATGGAAAGAAGAGGGCAAAGCAGCGTTCTCGACGCATTTGGGGTGACAAATGGCCCTTTTCCTCGAATTGATTTAGAGCTCGTGCGGACACCCGCACGATGCGTCGCGTCAAAGAGCGCTAAACGCGTCTGCTGAGCCAACACCGCGGCCAGCTCCACCAATGGACTGCATACGAGTCGCTGACGGCCATCCATCTTTCGCTGCGGCGAGTCGTTTGCTGACCCCGCAATCGCAGGTGTGTATCGAAGCAGATGTAGCATAGCCGGCCAGCTCAACTCAGAAAGCAGACCTCTGTTACAAACCTCATGTCGCCCCTCTCGGACGCACAGGGCCGGTCACTCTTCCGGGGCGCAGACTCTTGAGTAGGTGCAGACCGCCAGTCAAGGACGGTGGTATAAGCTGAGGCTGACGAACGGCAATGCCGTGGAACTCTAAGCGTTAGATACGCCGATGCGGTCACCCACGCGCACCATCGTCTCGATGCCGTTTGCCGAATTGTCCTTTAGGTCCTGGTCCCACTGCACCTTGGCCTCTGGCGGGAAGACGCAGACGATCGTAGAGCCGCCATAGGCAAAGTAGCCGCTCTCGTCGCCGCGCTGAACACTCGCGCCCTGATTGGCGTTGGTCCACCCGATCGATCCCACCAGCATGGCGCCGATCGCCACAAATGCAACCGGGATGACTGGCGACCCGGCTCCCTTGGGTGTCCAGTTGAGCAGCAGCGTGTCTCGTCGGTTGGACGAAAAGACGTCGAAATTGGCATTGACGGCTTGGGGCTGCCAGGGAGGAAGCCACGCGGTCGAATGCAGGCGATGTCGGTCAAGTCGCACGCAAGAAAGAACGTCAACGAGGAGATGCGCAATGCACGAACAAATTCGACGCACATAATGGGGGTCACGAAATTGGCAGAGAAAAAAGAGCGTTCAGAGGGCCGTCCCGAAGGCTGCGTGAATGCAAATGCGCATCACCGGCATCGACTCACATTGACGGTAAAGTACTCTCCAGAGATGTGTCGTGTTGGTCCACACATCGCTGGTCCGACAGGGTGGTGGTAGCGGTGGTAGTCCGCCGGCGCAAGACGGAAGATGGCGAGCGAGCTGCCAGGAGGGAAGCTCCTGTCTGCCAGATTTGTGTCGCCGATGAGTCTGTTGATGGTGAACCCGTCACCCTTGATCCAGTACTTGGTCGATGCGGCCACGTTGTCGAACACCGTCAGTCGGCAGTCTGCGCAGGACGACACGACCGACGCATTATCCGGCTCGGCGATCGGCCGGGCATCCGGCCTCAGCTTTCGGAAGAAGAACGAATTGAAGTTCGGATACTTGGACGGATCCGGCTGCAGCAGCTCTGCCGTGTCGATCGAATAGGTCGCGATGAACTTTTGGATATGCTCCAGCACCGCCTGTGGATCCGACTCGTCGTCGTACACCTTGCCCTGTCGGATCGAGACGGTCTGAAGCAGCTCCTCGACCGTCTTGTAGCGCAGGAACGACTGCTCCTTGCTCTTGTAGAACAGAAGATGCATGCCCACACGCACGTAGATCGGCATGCTCTCAAAGATCTTCTTGCCCGGCTGCCCTCGCACCGCCACGTAGTTGCCCATGTGGTGGGCGGCGAAGAGCCGATCCAGCGTCGACTCCATGTGGCCCGGGAAGAAGCGACCCCACCAGTGCGTGTGACCCTGGACTGAAATCGGAGCCGGAGTGATGGCGTTGTGGTCCGAAGTGCCTGGCTGGAGCTTGTCCGGGGTCTCGTGCACCGGCCCGGCCGATACGAGGTGCTCGAGCACCAAGGCGAGCGTCTCGTGCTCGGCACCCTCCGATGCGTGCTGTCCAGACGCCATTTCAAGAGTTCAATGGCAGCTGGTCCTTTGGACTGTGTTGAGGAGATCGTTGCAGGGTGGCAAGGTGGTTGTGGAGTGCCAGGCACGTTCGAGTGTCCGGCCCGTGCGTGAATGCTCGTCCTGCCGCTTTCTCGAACCGCCGGCTCAACTTAGGGGTCCAGTGCGCCAGAATTTTTGGGCGCCAGGATGTCAGGTCGAAAGGAGAAGACCTATTGAAAAAAGCCAAAGTCGATCGAGGGAAACGGCGGGCACCAGCCATCCAAAAACCCCGTCCCCAAGTCGAGAGATCAAAATGCAAGCCTACGCAGCCACTATCCGTACGCGGGTGTTTGGCACGGGCCAGCGCCACCGCTCAGCCTTGCCTTTGTAGTCGCTGCGCCCAGTCGCCTCTGAGCATTCGTATGCTGCAAGTCCAGCGCACTTGCTTGAGCCCATCTCGCTGCTTCGATCATGCTCAAGACTCACTGGCAATATAGCATGAGCTGAACAAGAGACATAAGATCGACGAGTCGGTGTCGGTGCAAATGGACGTCGCGTTTAGCAACGACGAAAGGGTCCTTGCATGGATGCGCATTGTTTTTTTTGGTGGTCGCGACGTGCAGCCTGTGTGGTCCGTGTTGGTGACTGGTGTTGCAGCAAGAGCTTCACGATGCTTGCGTTCAAGTCGACATCATGCCACACTCGCCCATGCTCCACAGGTCAAAGAGGCCGCCTATCTGACTGCAGCGCGACACTCGCCGGGTACGGGCAGTCGGTTGTGCCCGCGTGCCTGCTTGCGTGCGTCGCTTCGCGGTGAGCTCGATCGAAGGGCTGGCTGGCGGGCAAAGACCCGCAAACTTCGTGCCTGCTCGCCTTGGACGCCCGCGTTGCGGTGACGCAGAGACCGGCCGCGTGTTGAGCTTGCGGATTTTGACTGGCCTCCTGCCGCGATCTCGAGTCGAGCCCGCGCCGGACTTGGCTGAGCAGACGCGAAAAGTCAGAATTGACTGGCGCACTGCCGCACAAAATGGCGAGGCGCGTCGAGCCTAACTCTGGCAGAGCAGCCAGGACCAGCCAGGACCAGCGAGCCAGGGCGAGCCAGGGCAGGGCCCACATTTGGCGGGCTCACTCAAAACCCCCCGCCAAATCGTCGCCCACCCAAAACTCCCCTTTGCCTTCCCTCCGCCAACTCTCCCTCACCCACACCACACACGCTACCCCCGCCAACACACATACACAGGTGAGCATATTCTAAACGCAACCCGCCCGCTACCGCACCGACGCGTCGAGACGTGTCAATGTCCCCCTTCGCCATCGTCAATGGTCATGCTCCATCGCCACACTACTCTCGTCGCCATCGCTCATCACGATCCGCTCGCGATCACGATCGACGCGTCGCCATCCATCCAGCCACGCACACATCCATCAACGTAGCTGGCGGACGCGGCGGCGCGAGCTCAGGCTTTGGGCAAGCCGCTTCAGTCCCATGATTCACCGCGTACATCGCACGATGGCGTGGCCCTCGTCATCGTCTGTGATTGGATAGGGCGCTTTTTGTCGTCGTCGCCATCACGGCCAGATGCATGATGCTCCCACCATCGCAACGCGCACTCGGCCAGTCTTGGCAGAGCGGCTCCGCGTGCCCAACGCGTCTCGCTTCGCGTCGACGGTCCGGAAATTCGCCGATCAATTAAAACACTCGACCGTCGTCATCCTCGACAGCGTTCCTAGACATATCGGATGGCAGTGTGCTGACTCAATTGACTCTCCCTCCCCTTCTGCTTGACTCGACGCGTCCAGTACCTGTGACCAAGATGGCCAAGGCAGACACCAAGACCAAGTCGTCGACTTCGACGCAGAAGCGCACCACCAAGTCCAAGAAGGATCCCGCCGCCCCTAAGCGCCCGCTCTCGGCATACATGTTCTTCTCGCAGGACCACCGCGAGCGCGTCAAGCAGGCCAACCCCGAGGCCGGCTTCGGCGACGTCGGCCGCCTGCTCGGTGCCAAGTGGAAGGAGATGTCCGAGGCCGAGAAGAAGCCGTACAACGACATGGCCACGCGCGACAAGGCGCGTGCCGAGGCCGAGAAGGCTGCGTACAGCAAGCGCCGATGATCGCATCGTCCCTTTCAGCTTCCCGTGATATCCCCCCTCTGCTGGCCTCTTTGCACCCCTTGGGCGTGTCCGGCTCTCGATCGTGTACCACCTGCCTCCTTTCCGTCGGCTCTAGCTCCGTCCTCCCTCCCTCTTTTTTCTCTCTGGCTTTCTTGTTGTCGCTAGCTCGATGTGTCGGACGCTTGCTTGGGTCGTGTAGGCCGTGACAGCGGCTGTGCCAACACTTGTACTATGATGTTTTCTCCCTCTTTTTTTCTGTCGTGCGTGGGTTCGAGGCTGTGAAGTGCGAGGTTGCAGGGGTGGAGAGTCTACATGGTCTTGGCGCCGAGGACGCTCATGATCTCTTCGTAGACGGTGAAGACGATGCCGCCGGAGAGGACGAGGCGGGCGAGACGTGGGGTGGCGCCGCGCCAGAAGGCGAGCACGCCCTCTTCGCGCAGCGTCACGGCGGCACAGTTGAAGGTGTTGCGGTACTTTGTGCGTGCCTCGAGGGTCTGCATGCGCGTCTTGATCACGCTGTCAAAGCCAAGGTGCAAGACGGGGCGAGCGCGCGGTGTCAGCGGATCAGTTCATCGACGAAAGGGCAGGGCGTGGGTGATGGAAGCAAAACTTACTCCAACGGCATGGTTGCATCTGCACATCGATTTGAAGGGGACGATGGAACGAAGATGCGAGACTGTAAGTGGAAGGACGACCAGGATGCCAAGCAAGGAGCGACACTTACAAACGGTGACGATGCCGGCAATAGCGCCGATGCCAAAGGTGATACCGCCGGGTAACGACTGACCGGGCCTTGCGCTGCCGCTGACAAAGTTCTTGAGCGTCGAATAGGTTCCGAACCTGACTGCCGAGTTGGCGCCCTGTCGGAGCATGACGGGGAAGAGACCCCTGTAGATGCCCCTGATGCCCTCCTCGCGCACGATCGCCGCGGTACCCGGCACGAGCCCGCGCGGATACTTGGGCACCGCGCGCTTTCCGTCGTCGATCAGCTTGGTCTTGATGGTCTCGGACGGCGTGACCGCAAACACCGCCTCCATCATACCTGCACCCAGTCCGGCGAGCAAGGAGCGTGGGCCCGAGAGCTTGCCGTTCTCGTCCTCGAGCATGGTCTTGAAGTGGTCGTAGCTGAGGAACCTCACTCCCGCCTTGATCGCATTGCCCGTCACGAGCGCGCCGCATCCAGAGTAGAGGCCGATGAAGCCGTCCTTGGCGATGGTGTTGCGCACGATCGTGATGGGGCCCGGCGCCTTCTCGCCCGCCTTGGCCGCAAACTGCGACACGGTCTTGGTATATTCGATCGGATACGTGGTGAAGCCTTCGACGGCGCCGGCGGTTGTACCGGCTATGAGCGAGTAGAGCGGCTTGTCCTTGCGCTGCGCCGTCTGCGTGGGCGTAGCCGCCGCCTTGCGCGGTCCCGGAGCTACATCCTTGACCGCACTGTACGCGGTGGAGGCGGCGTCGGCGATCGATGCGGACGCCGACGAGGACGAGGATGCGGTGGCGCTGCTCATAGCTCGTTCAGGTTCCAAATGCTGCTCTGCGGTGTGGTCTGGGGAAGGGAAGCCGCGCAGGTGAGGTGGAAGTGGAGACAGAGGAGATGAGGTGGGCGCGAGCTTGCAAGAGGAGAGAGCAGCTGCTGACTCGGGGCTCGTGCAGTCATTCTGCAGCGTCCAACTCTCTCCAGAATCGCTTTCAGCCCTTCTCTCTGCGCTTTCAGCGGCATTTCGCCGATATCCGGTGAAGGTTTTTTTTTGAGAAGCAGCGAGATTATGGCGGTGTAACAATGCAAAGCATTTTTAATCGATGGCCAGGCACACGTGACGCTGCTCCGCAAGTGTTCGTCGGCGTCGACCTTCTCCGCCCCGCTTATACAGTCAGGTTCCGCTCTTCCAACATTCATCACTCGCACCAGCAGCGACGGCGACATCTTCAGCATCGCCAGCATCGCGCCCACGCTCCTTCTTCCGACGGTAATCAACTCTGTTTGCGTCGAGTGCCTCTTTTCGCGTCTTCATCTCACTCCCCTGCTCCGGAGCAGCAGTCCGACGCTGGCGCCATGGTGTACATCAAAGACTGGCCCGAGTTCCAGCAGCGCAGCATCAAGCTGTACCGGCAGAACCCGCACAAGGCGCGCTACCTCGTCAAGTCGCGCGCATCCACGTGCAGCCTCACGCTCAAGGTGACCGACGACACCACCACGCTCAAGTACCGCACGCGCTCGTCGGCGATCCTGGGCAGGCTGGAGATCTTCAACAAGGCCATGATGCTCGCCATGGCAGGCTCGGAGCAGCCGCTGCAAGAGGCGAATCCGGAACCGCAACCTGCACCCGCCGCAGCAGCACCATCACAACCCACAGCAGCAGCATCCGCTACCAACGCAGTATCCAATGGACCCACCTCCGCAACGTCACAACCAGCCGCAGCATCCGATAAGAAGAAGAAAAAGAAGAAGGGCAAGAAGTAAGCCCATCTTCGTTCCGACATGACGCCTCCCAGCATTCAGGCTGTAGCATACCTCAATCGCAACCAGTTCGCACAGCACACACGCTCGCACGCTTGGATGCAGCATCGACTCGAGATCGAAACATTGAGAACGGGGTGGCAAAGCCTAGTCGCGCAGGTCGAGGCTGGACACGAGCCCAGCTTGGAAGGGGAGGTCCTTGATCGTCGTCCTGCTCCTCTGGCTGAGACGGAGGTATCGGTAGAGCAAAGACGCTGCGTCCTTGAGCACCACGAACGCGCCCGCGCCCACTGCGTTGCGGAACCACACCGGATCGAGGTCGTCGTAGCGCTGTGCATGACCGAGCAGTCCCAGACGGTCTCGGAACGTGCGCTCGTCGCTGCTGCCTTTGGTGCGGTAGTCGGAATCCACGCCCGGCAGGCTCCCACGAAACAGCGCAGCCATGGACGAGGGCGCCGCGGCATCAGCCGAGGTCTTGGTTGGCGTGGGCGTGGATGTGGTGGTGTAGTAAGAGCGCAGAAGGGAGGACGATGTGCCATCGTAGATGCCTCTGATGCCCAGAAAGCGGGCGAGCGTCGGAGAGCTGCGCGCAAGCCGGGCAAGCAAGCGGCCCATGAGGTTGGCGATGAACGGCATGGCGAGTGCGCCGAAGAAGACGCGCGTGAGCGAGCGGTGCGTCACATACACTGTCTCGGTCACGTCGTTGGCAGCCGTACCTGTGCGGCCTTGGTGCGCGATTCGCAGCTCCATAGTCGGCTCGTCCGTCCCTTCGAGCGGTGCGGGTGTTCCCAGATCCGGATCCGAATCCAACAGATAGCTGTCCGGTTCGCCTACGATCACCACGCGTCTGCGACGTCTGCCTGTCGAGCCTGGATTCGCACTGGTGTCGTTTCGGCGGTAGAATGGCTGTAGCACTGCGCGATACACTCTGCGTTTGAGGGCGAGGTAGAAGACGCGCACCCACGGCATGAGCAGCACCGTCAGCGCCGGTCCGGGCGGATACGCGCGGTTGCCAAACACGCTCGACTCGAGGTAGCGCTCAAACAGCCTTCCGTGCGCTGCGGTTGCCGTAATCATGGGCAGACCCGTGAGCGGAAACGCCGCCAGCGTAGGTACCCACGTCATGGCCGAGTCAAAGATGTTGAGCCGCGATGCAAACAGCGCAAACGGGATGAGTGGGATGTCGATCCAGTAGTGCCACGGCCACGGCGATGCGAGCGCTCGGCGTGCGGCGTGTTTGCCGAGAAACATGCGCATGGCTACGCACCCGTACGTCGTGCACGCCACCAGCACCGATCCTCCGAGCAGAGCTACGGCGCCGATGGGCTGCGCGAGTGTGACGAGCCTGTCGACCGAGTCAAACAGCCGCAGCAGCGCCGACTTGTTGTTCAGCACCACGTACGGCGCTTTGCACTGCGGACACGTGACGCTCTTCTGCAGCGGATGGTCGCGGTTGCTCTGGTCGATCCAGCGCAGCAGACATCCCTCGTGCGCAACAAGCGTGCAGTTGCACGGGTGGACGAAGCGCCGCCTCCGCGCCGCCGCCATGCCCGACAATGAGGCGGACGCAGAGGCGGTATCTTCTTCCTCTTCGGAGCAGATCCAGCACGTCTTGTTGCGCAGGTCTCGCACAGTGACTGTACGCTCGTTGGGCGCAGGCTCGCCTCGGTCTCCCGCGAACCTCGGCGGAAGCTCGTTGGGGAAGCGGTAGACGCGAGCCGAGCCGTCGACGTTGGAGTATGCATCGGAAACGGGGCGGCGTGGCTCGGAAGCTGTTGGAGATGGAAGCAGGTCGCTCTCGAGTCGGGCGACATCCTGCGACGGAGTCGAAGGACCAGCTGCAGGATGCGATGTGGAGGTCGGGCTCGAGGGTGCCGGGGCGGTGTCGTCGGAGTGATGTGGCTGCGACTGCGACATGTCGAAGGAGACCCGAACCAGGCGGTTGAAGGGGCGAGTAGGTCGAGCGCACGTTCAACAATTGCCAAGTGCGGTTGATGGTGGTCCAAGGAAAGGCCTGCTAGGGCGGCTTCAAAGGGTAGGCACAGACAATGACAAAAGCGAGCAGCTGGCCCGGCAATCGGCCATCCGAGCGCGCCGCTGTCAAATCACCGATCGCCTCCACTTTGTGCTTTGTGCGGGCGGCGCGTCCAAAAGTCACACCAATCCAACTGCGCACCGCTGCTGCCTTCTTGCGCGACTCAGCAGCGTGCCACCAACACCTGCAGCGACCATCAACCAGAACTGCGAACACGATGTCGGTCCTGGAGGCGCCGTCGCAGGAGCAATGGGACCTCGAAGCGCATCGCATCCGAATCCCGCCAACTGCTGGTCCGAACCAGTTTGCCTCGACCTCGACCTCATCCTCGTCTGCCAGCTTGGATGCCGAGCAGGGTGGATTCTTCTACATTCCCAACTTTATCACCGAGGACGAAGAGCGCTTCCTGAGCGAGTCGATACTTTCGGCGCCCAAGCCCAAGTGGAAGATGCTGCAGAACCGCCGGCTGCAGGAGTGGGGCGGCCAGATCCACGCCAAGAACAACACGCTCATGCCGCAAGCCATGCCCGACTTTTTGCGCACCTATCCGGACCTTGTGACGCGCCTGCGCAATACGCATGCTTTTGATGCCGCGCAGCACGGCGAGCCCAACCACTGCCTTGTGAACGAGTACCTTGCTGGCCAGGGCATCATGCCTCACGAGGACGGGCCGGCATACTTTCCCGCCGTCGCCACGATCAGCCTTGGCTCACATACACTGCTCGACATTTACCGCTACGTCGACGAGGATCTCCAAAAGGACTTTGACGAACGCATGAAGGAGCACGACCAGAAGACGACACAGCAGTCGTCTACAGGGACAGAAGGGTGTGCGGATGGATCGACCAAGTCGCCGATCGTGCCCAAGGAGAGGGTCGAAGGCAACGTGAGGATCGTGCGTGGCGCGCGAGCCAGAGAACCATCGCCGGTGTTTTCGATCCTGCAAGAACCGAGATCGCTGCTGATCACGACGGGAGACGTGTACAAGAGCTACCTGCACGGCATTGCCGAGCGCACGGTGGACACGCCGGCGCATCTGGCGCACGTCGTCAACGCAGAGCTCCTCTCGGATCCGCGCCTGCGTGCTGCGGTCGAAGAAGCCAAGAAGAATGTCGGCAGCGACAGCCAAGATGCAGAGGGCCTCGAGAGGGAGACGCGGCTCAGTCTCACGTTCCGCGACGTAGAGAAGGTGAGCAAAGGCGTGGCGGCCATGATGGCATTCCTCCAGGGCGGAAAGCGTTAGCTTAATTTCAAAAGATACCTCAGATAGAGAAAAAGTCATCTGCCGTCTGTCTCTGCATTGCAGATCGAACTCTATTTCACGAGCGTGCTGGTGGCGGAGTGCCGATAGCGAACTGTGCGGCAGCGTCTAGGATGTGCAGGACGGCTTGCGCTTCGTCGCTGTCTCTAGGCGCGTACAAAAGGCAGTACGTTGGAGGGAGACCCATCGCCTTTGTTGCAGTTCCTTGTCGCGGCACCGAGCTGTTCGACCACCATCGGGCCGGGAATTTGGGTCGCCAGCGTGCGAGCCAGGCAGGCCAGCCTATCCAAAAGCCCGAGTACGAAGGAAAGCCGGCGAGCGGGTGAAGTTGACCCCAACCCAGCTCTACGACGAGCGCAGCATCGTGCGGGTGGAGCGTGACATGCAGACTGCTATCGCGCCCGTCTGGATTCGGGGAGCGCGTGCAGTGGACATGAGCGAACTCGCCCTGCAAAGACGAGAGGAATCGGCGCGAGAGCGAGCTAGGGAATCGAGCTGATCGCGTGGAGCGCGACACGGCCTCGGATTGCGTGACGAGTGTATGCGATACCGCGAATAGCGCGGTCGAGTCGGGTTCGATCTGCGAGCGTCCGAGCCGAACGTGCGAAGGTTGTTCCTGCGCCTGCTGGTCGAGCGCCGCCAGGACGTGTTCCAGCGCATCATTCGCCGCGGTTGATGCAGCTTCAGCGTCTCCCTCGATGCTGCTGCTGCGAAATTGATCGATCTGCCGGTGCGAAGTGGTCCCTGCTGTGGTGGGACGAGCTCCGTTGCGTCGAGGCAGCGATGCACCTGTAGTGAGGGATCGATCCTCGAGAGAAGCTTGCTGCGCCTGTGGAAGGTAGCATCGTACGAGGGTGGTGCTCGTCCATGACCGTGCGAGCGAGAGCGGCGAGAGTGCAAAGAAGTGCACTGCCCAGCCAAAGATGTTCTTGGGAAGCGGCCCGCCTGGAAGCGAGACGAAGAGTCGGTAGTCGAGCCACGCCGTCGAGACCACGTTGGAGATCAAGTAGGATGCGACGAGCGAGAAAGTGACGGGTGCCCTGCGGTAGAGTGCTACGGCCGACTGGGTCGTCGCAATGACGTGCGAGCGATCCATGCTGTGCAGGACGGATATGGACTTTGACTGGGAAGGAAGAAGGGTCGACTCCGCCTCCACTTTACACGACCAACACCTTCTCTTCGACCCGATCTCGCCTTCCTCACCGGCCCCAAAATCTCCGATTCCGACGCGTCTTCGCGGTGCAACACCGACAGGCGCGCCTCACTCTTCAGGGTCCGCCTCGTCGAGAGCTCCACTCGCTGCTCGCTGCTCGCTCTCCTCGGCCTCTACCCACCACCACCACCTCGGCGCATATCCACTAAACATGGAGGTTACACGCGTGGCGTCCACATCGCGCGCCGCAACTGGCTCCAGTGGCTCACACGAGCCGCCCCCGAAGCGTCGCAAGCCCGACATGCTCGCACCCTCATCGCCCTCCAAGTCGCTCGACCTCCTCCACCAAAAGTTCCACGGCCGCACCGCCAGCTCGATCGCCACCAGCATCGAGGAGCAGGAGCGCATCCAGGCGCAGCTGCTCGCATTTGCAGAGACACGCGCGCGCGCATCCTCGTCGCATCAATCGGCTCACGACTCGGACGCGGACTTTCGATATCCTCCGGGCTACGAGCAGATCGGCAGTGCGGACGCGCGTGGTTTGCTCGAGCAGATCAAGAATCGCACAGCCCAGCCCAAGGCCAGCAATTTTCTGCAGAAGGCAAAACAGGTGCAGCAGGCGCTGCTCGACAAGCAGCGGCGCTCGGCGGATCTGCAAAAGGCACGAGACGACGCGTCGCTCAGAGAGAGCCTTCGCAGCTCGGGCTTCAGCGATGAGGGTGCCAGTCGCGTCGAGCAGAGCCGTGCACCGTGCAATGTAGCTGCGTTCGCGCGCGGCACCCAACGCGAGCCAGAAGCTTCGGACGCCGAGTCCGACCAAGACGACGCAGACGACTATGAGCACGCTCTGTCCGACACGCATGTCAGGCGCGATGACGACCTGGCGCTCATCGAGAGCCTGCGTCCAGGCCCACGGGCTATCCCGCCCAACCCAGACGATCCCGAGTGGGAGGCGATGGAGCCGTTCTCGGGCCACCGTCTGCGCGAGCGCAAGCTCGCCCATTCGCAGCTCAAGGAGCATCTGCGCGCGCGGTACCACATCCCACCCTCGCTGCTGTACTCGATCGCGCGGCCCATCTCGGCGCACACCGGCCACGGCAGGCAGACAGACTGGAAAGCGGCGCGCAACGGCGACTTTGAGGTGCCCGTCGACGGAGACTGGATCGTGATCGCGACCATCGTCGAGAAGAGCGACCTGCTGCTGACCAAGGGCTTTGATCCCAACGCCAACGCGCCCCGCACGCCCCATGGCAGACGCGATGAGCTCGACGACGACCCTGTGCTGTTCAAAGACGCTGCGACCGGTGCGAGTGGCCAGCTGAGGCTCGATCTGGAGCCGGGCAATCCGAACGCGTTCGCCGACCCAAAGCTGGCGGCTAAGCCCTGGCAGCGCAAGGGCTGCGGGAACGAGGTGGACGAGCAGCTCGAGGGCCGCCGTGAGCACCTACGGCTCGCCAACCGTCCGCGCAAATTTGTGGTGCTCAAGCTCGTCGATCTGGGCGTGGACCGTGCACAAGCCGACGGCAGCGGCAGTGCGGGGCGTGGCGACAACTATCTGTCGCTCGTGGCGTACGAGGCGGACCAGGTGGACACAACGAAAGCAAACGGAGCGCGCAGCGAGGTCGCCGAGGTGCTGGCGCGGACAAAGTGGG